GGCCACCCCCAGCAGCCCCTCCTGCAGCGCGCCCAGCGTGGGCACATCCCGAGCAGGCTCCAGCCCCAGCACCTTCCCGTAGCTCTGCAGGAACTCCACCACCGTCAGGCAGTCGGAGAAGGCGCGGCTGGGCAGGACGAGCCCCGGGATGCGGGAGAAGGCTGGAAGGGGCTGTGGATCAGGGAGAAAAGCAGGGAGAGGGTCAGGGCCGGCTGGTGGCTCCCCAGGGTGACCTTTCTGAGCCCCCCTCCGGCACAGCCCACCTGGTGGTCCCCCAGGCACATGTCCTCCGTGGGCTTCTTCATCTCCTCCAGGATGAGCTGCTGCCGCTGCCGCTCCTCCAGGCGCCGCTGGGCCAGCAGCCCCTTGTCCGCCTTCCGAGCCCCCTTGCCCTTCTTCTCCTTGGGCCGGGCCTTGTCCTTGCCCTTCTCTGGCTTCCCCTTCTTCTCCTTGGCCTGGGTCAGAGCCCGGGCGTGTGGGGAAATAAGGTCAGAGGGAAAATCCATCTTCATTTCTCATCTCCTCCCTCTCCCCGGCCTACCCGTGCCCACGGACTCACCTTGGATTTCTTCTTGACCTCCTTGGCCCTGGGGGCTTTGGCCTCCTGCTTCTGCTTGTTCTTGGCCTGAGGGGAGGACAAGAGCAGCTCAGGGCCCCCCTGCGCCAGGGAAACCCCCCACCCAAACCCGAGCAGCCCCCGAGCCCCACCTTCCGCCTCATTTTCTTCTTGATCTTGCTCATTTTCAACTTGTCCTCCTCGCTGAGCACCTCTGGGGGGGACACAGAGGGAGAGCAAACATGAGCCAGGCGCTGGATCCCACCGGGGCCAGGCTGAGGGGCCTCCCCAGCTCCCCCACGGCGGGGCTGCCCAGGGGGTACCTTGTGCTTCCAGCCTCTTCAGCAGCCTCGCGTCCGTCTTGCTCAGCAAATCCACCATCCTGACCTTGGGAGGGCGGCCCCGGCCCCGCTTGGTGGCCGGGGGCTCCTTGGGTTTGGCCTTCTCGGCGTTGCGGGGCCGGCCGCGCTTGCCCGTGATGGCCTGGATGCGCCCGGGGATCTCCTCGGGGCTCAGCTTCACCCACTGCACGCCCTGTGGGGCACG